GAGAGAATACAACAATAGATATTTGAGAGAAGAGGATATCCCTCAGAGGCCAGTCTCTTACGAAGGGACTTTGTCTTGATCATGTAAATCTAAGTTTGTAATAAAATACCATTTATTTACATGTGTCAGATTCACAAATCTGGTAAAAGTCAATACCAAGTGCTGACAGTGATGAGGAATAATAGGGACTCTAAGCACTGTTAGCAGGAATAGGAATTTATTCATTCTGAAGAAAGTGGGTAAAATCTCAAATTGAAGATATGCAGTATCTCCCAGACTCTCACCCTTGTCTACAAGGAGACATATAGGAGAATTTTTCATTGCAACATTGTGTTTAGTGACCAAAACTTGGAACAGATCTTAACATTTATCTGCAGAAAAATAGATCAGCATATGATGGCTTAATATTACAGAATTATAGCAGCTAAAGTGGATGAAGAAGAGCTCCAAGTTTCAACATGGACAAATATAGAAATATTTTACAAATTGAACAAACACTTCAAGTGGCAAAAGAGGACTCATGATGTGATGTGTGTAAGCTCTAAAGTTATGCAAAACCACTTCAAGAGTACGTGTATAACATGAAAAGTGCATTGGAGCTACAAACAGTACATTTAAGACAGTGAGGAGAAAGTAAGAGGAGGGGGATAAGGAAAATTTCACAAGATGATTTTGCTCTTTTGATACTGTTTCTCCCAGAAGCTGGTAGGATACACAGATGATAGCAATAGCACCACAAAAATCATGTATCATCGTAATATCTTGTAATTTAACAAATGTAAGAGAGGGATAATTAAAAATTCTTTGGCAAATTTACTCTGAGGAAAGGAAATGTGAACTTCTTTTCAGAAACAATTCATATCTTTTAAATGTCAACATTATGTGGCTTTTCTCCCCTTTGTTTTTATAAATGTTATACCACAACCATGGAAAGCTAGATGTGTAAATAGACTCCCCCCACACTCCAGAAATGCTCTAAGATAGAAATTTGAATTTTACCTTCAAACTGACAGTATTTGTATCACTGGTCATACCTCATTGGCTTCACAGAGAAAATGATGTCCATAATGAACAGTAATGCATAGCTTTTTTTTTCACATTTATGGTGATTTCATTTTGCTTATGTTCCTCTCTTTTTCCCCAAGAAGGGGCTGTTGACATCAATGAACTGGACACTGTTTTGCAAAACATGGGAATCCAACTCTCAGAAATGGAAACTAAAGACTTGGTAGAACACCTGCCTGTTGATGGTGAGCATGTAAACCTTTAAATTGCTCAAGATCACCTGAGAACGTGAGCATCCATATCATGTCCCCTGAAAAAATATATTTGCCACTAAGAAGACATTTATACAAACTTAGGAATGAACTCAGAAATGAAATATGATGATATTGTCTCTTATCATTTTATTAATGTATACTAGCAACTTCTTTAATTTTGGATCCAAAGAACGTAGAACAAGTAGATAGCAGCACTATCAGTACAAAAAAAAAAATGGGGAAAAAAGAACAAGCAGTTGGGTGAAAAGTAGCCTGACAACAGTCTGTAGGGGCGCTCAAGCTAAAAACTAGGAAAATAGAGAAGTGCAGTTCAAAACTGGGAGATGGTATTAACATGAGAGACACATTCCATAGATATATGATTGTGTATTCTCACTTTCTCAGAATCGAGGGCTACAGAACAGTCCAGCTCTAAAGTGTGGAATGCTTCTCTATACTACTGCTGCATAATATCCCACTTCCTTGCTCAGACTCCATGATCCAAAGACCATATTCTCAGGCATCACCCTTCATGATCTAGTGGCCAAATCTATATACACTTAAAACTAATTTAGTGCTCAAGTACAGTGGATCATTGAAATTTTTGTTGTTGTTGTTAAATGAAGGAAACCATTCACAAAAAGACTACAATAGTATGATTTAACTTATAGGAAATGTCCAGAATTGGTAAATTTATAGAGACAGATTGATTAGATTTTCTTAATGGAGGTGCTGAGGACTGAGATAGTAAAAATGTATCATCATATTAGTTTGTGATCATGATTTCACAGTTCTGTGCATATACTAAAAATACTTTATTGTATGTGAATTATATCCACAACAGTTTAGTAAATCTACCAAAACAATTAATAATGACCTACTTGATTTTTTATAGAGAGGAGAAAACAAGGAATGAAAATTCCCCTCAGCCTAGATTTAATAATACTGAAGACAAATGATACTTTCTTCTGGACACTTTCTAGTACCTATTTGAATTTCAGTAATATACATATATTGAGAACATTTTCAATGAGGTTCTTAATTATCAGAGTTTCTAACTTGCATGAAACTTATGTTTAAATATTTGTCATTTACAGTGACAAAAAGTGAAGAATATCAGTTTTACAAATGAACAACAGAGAGAATATCATTTTGTTATATGTCCTCCAATAAAGAAAAATGTAACTGAAAATCTAAAATACCTTCAATTTCTGAGTTAATTCTCTATATAACATACTTTCATTTAAATGTATGTTTTAATTGATTTAGCAAATAAGTGTCAAGCTTTTCGTTTACAAAATATGTAAATTATTTGAGTGATTATTAAGTTAAGATTATTAACTTATTAATGTAAGACAAAGGAATAAGAAATGTAGGGAAAATCAGCAACTCCTAAATATCAAGTCTGTACATACAGAGATCATTCTTAAGATCCAAAGAAAATATTAATTAGAACACACAACTTAACAATTCTAATCCTTGTGCCTGATTTACAATAGAGTTTTCCAAGGCATAGGAGCCATCCAGTATAACTCATAGAAAATTTGGTAATTCGGGGCTGGGGTTGTGGCTCAGTGGCACAGTGCTTGCCTCACCCACGTGAGGCACTGGGTTCAATCCTCAGCACCACTAAAAATAAGTAAATATAATAAAGATATTTTAAAAAAAGAAACAATAATTGGTGACTTAATTTTCTCATTCAATTCAATTTCCTGTACCACAATGAATCAAAGTTCAGTAATCATAATCTAGAGTTTCTAGCTCACAAGAGAGATAAGGATAGGATAAAGTTATAAAGTATATATCACTTTATTTATTTTCTTTTTATACTTTGAATGAGTGTCAGTGACTTGCCTATATTTGACTTATACATTTCTCTCCTAGGTGATCAGAGGGTTGAATTAAACAAATTAGTACATGCAATAAAAGTTTATGCTGGTGAGTGTCAAGTTACTACATGACTGTTAGTGTTTGAAACACTTTTTCAATTTGGCCCATTACATATTTTGTTTTGC